GGATACACGAGACATAGAGTCGTAGCTCGAGATCTATGTAGACTCCAGCGATCTGAGACGAAACCCGTGATCAACTCCAGCTGGTCTCCATGAAAAGACTTCCCCGCGACTCACCTACAAGCTCTCTGGCATTCGGTATCGGTTCAGCATATTCTCGAGAGATATTCACCTGGTACTGGCTGGTGAGACATCTGATATTTGGGAATCTAGTTTCGGCCGGGCCGTAGCCTGTGGCGGCTGGAACACCTTGGGTGACACCTTACCAGCTCTTCCGTGCCTCTGAATGGAGGATGAGGAAAGCCTGACGGTGAGATTCTCACCGTGTTCTCACCGTGAGAACACGTGCGTAAATCGCACATGTCATGGGAGTCTCCCGTCGGAAGATACCCAGCATAGAGAGGAAACGCGCTACCCAGATGGCACAATCGATGTCCAACACATTACAACGCTCTATTGGAATACTAAGACACAACATAACGGAATGTGAAATGATAATCAAAATCACGACAATGCTGTCAACACCACCAAAAGTTGTTCGTCCACATTGCAAGAAACAACCCGGATACCCTTGTGCACCTAGTAACGATAATGGACCTCTTTGAAAGGACCTTCGACGTTGACGGAAATATAGGATGCCTGGTCGGGAGTCAGCTGAGTCAGTTTGGCATTGAGAGCCGGAAGATGTAGCCTAGCAACTTTCTCGTCCAAAACTTTGGGCAGAAGAGTTACACCAGGTCTCTTGTCCTTGGCGTACTTCGTATCCCTATTCTCCCACAACTCCAATTGAGCCAAGGTCTGATTGGTGAAGGAACAACTCATAACAAAACTAGGATGGCCAGTAGCACAGCCAAGATTGAGTAGACGCCCGCTCGCCAGCATGATGATACCGTGACCATCGGGGAATTCAAAGCGGTCAACTTGAGGCTTGATGTTCATGCACTTGACGCCGGGGCAGGTCTCCAACCTCTCCATCTGGATTTCGTTATCAAAGTGACCGATATTACCGACGATAGCGTTATTCTTCATGGCCTTCATGTGTTCAAGAGTGATGATATCTTTGTTGCCAGTAGCCGTTATGAAGATATCCGCGTTGTACTTCGAAATGGCATCCTCGATAGTGGTGACAGTGA